AGAGAGTACTGGGGGTGTTGGAAGAAAAGTAATTAGTAAAGGCCATTTTGTAGGAGTAGTATCAAATATTAAATTTTACATAGTATTAAAATTACATAGTGTCAAACTGCTATGGCTGCACCGAAAACTGACTAATATTAGCCGACATTTCACTATTTGTATTGCAAAGATATCAAATCTAAGTTTTCTTCCTAAATGTACTAATATAGCGATTATAACAGTGGCTCATCATAAGATAATTCCGGATCTCACAGAAAACAACTTTTGAAATGTAATAGGGCTTGGTATTACGCATATACATTGAAGGAATCAATAACCACATGAGTGGGACACAGTAATATAACCAATACTCATTTTGCGGTCATTAGTGAAATTACCAAAATAAAATAACCGAGAAAACACAATGTAAGTAAATGTTGCTATTGATTATTTGTCAAAATGACGTCGACGTACTGGGAACGAAACAAAGGGATATGTGTATATCTCAGTTTTTCTATGTCAGTCCATTTTGGGATTCGGTCCATCTTCATAATTCGAGGGATGCTCGTACTAGCTCGTGAAATATTCTGGAGCTGAATCCCATGTACTTCGTGACATGAAATTACATGAAGCCGTCGTACTTAAACTCCTTACACGTTACAGTACACTAAAACGAAATTTGATTGTCTGAAAAATAAAACGAGGAGCATCGATAGGTTATAGGTTACCATAATTAAAAGCCTTTACCATACAAGTAATGCATTGATTAATTAGTCAAAACTTATTAATAATCTTACCACTTATTATTATATAGATACGGAAGAATCAATCGTTTGGTGAATTTGATTATTTTCCATAACCAATAAATTTTTGTGTTATTGTATATTTTCGCGACGAATTTCGAAATTAAAAATATTTTTTCGGTGGTGGATATCACTAGACTTTCGGATAAAAGCGAAAGAATAAACTCGTCCTCGAACGCGGCAACTTCGGGTGCCCTACTTGAGATGAGACATACGGTATGTCGACCTAACCTACAGGGTGGATCACGAATCATGATCAGTAGAGATTACTTTGTTATTAGCAGTCCGATCGAAAATCTTTTTATCAGCTTTTGCATGGTTTCAAGAGAGCTTTAACGTGATAGTGAAAAATTACTGGTCAACTCCTTTTTTAATGTTTTTTCAAGGTTACCTAGAATTTTTTGCAACTGAACATATAATTTTTTTTACGCCTGTCTGTTAGAGGATTTCAAGACGAATCCGGTACATGTAAGGACATGGCATTTTTTCATCTGGTTCGAAAGAAAATTTAAAAACTTTGTATCACAAGGAGAATCACAGCTACGCCCTTATTACGCATCCAATGTTGTTGACAAGTCAAAATTACTTACCGATCTTACTCCATTAGATTACTTTTTGTGGGGTACATTAGAAGACAAAGTTTATGCAGATGCTCCAACAACACCGGAAGATATGCGAGGAAGGATTGCGGATGCATGCTCAACCATCAGTGTAGAGGCCATAAAGAATGCAAAACAATCTTTTGTTCACCGTCCACGCGAGTGCATTGCAACCCGTGGACACCATTGTGAACATCGCTACAATTAAGATTGGTAAATTGTGACTTGTCAACAACATTGGATGCGTAATAATGGCGTAGTTGTGATTCTCTTTGTGATACAAAGTTTTTTAATATTCTTTCGAACCAGATGAAAAAAATGCCATGTCCTTACATGTGTCGAATTCGTCTTGAAATTCTCTAACAGACAGGCGTAAAAAAATTATATGTTCAGTTGCAAAAAATTCAAGGTAACCTTGAAAAAACATTTAAAAAGAGAGTTGACCAGTAATCTTTCACTATCACGTTAAAGCTCTCTTGAAACCATGCAAAAGCTGATAAAAACATTTCCGATCGGACTACTAATAACAAAGTAATCTCTACTGATCACGATTCGCGATTCACCCTGTATAAAGACAGCCGTTCGTATAGTCAAAAGATCTATAATTACCTGTAAGTTCAAATGCAGATCTTTTATACTCTAAGTCATAGGAACATGGCCCCGCAAAGTAAAATCAATCCCACGTCAGAATTCTACTACTGAAGAAATTAGACAATTGAAATATGTTTCTATAAGAGATATAGGTACATACATATATTGAATAGCATTAAACTGTGTCACAATTATTATCCAATATCTATCATGATACAGCTGTGGTACAACTACCTACACACTCTGTAGTCCATGACCCGTTATTAGCGACTTCCGCCGGAAGCGAAAAGTCCGATACGACGAGAATAATTTAGGAAAGTGAAAGAGTGGAAATGACAGAGAGAAATAGAAACGAAGACGAGGATGACAATGAGAGTGGATAAAAGAAAAGGAAAAAAAAAAAGTAAGTCATAAGAGAACGAAGAAACCGTTCCCTTAGTTTGCTCGAATATTTTTCCTTTATTCTTGCAATTAATTACCGGTCCGACATCAAACGGTCGACTTTACAAAGCAGGCAAGATAATTAAAAAAAAAAGTTCAATTGGTACACCCTCTACGCAGGTGATCCTGATGTGAGCATAGTGCGCGTCCGCATTACACTACTTGACCCAATATCGTGTTCGTAGGTCAACGCTCGATTCTAGAAATGAAGATGACTATGAGAACTTCCGGCTGGAAGATCGGTTATCATGTTTCAAATACGAGTTTCTATTATTTATACAGAGAAAGAGATGAGTATCGCCGCGCTCAGTTTGTCCAAGGAAATTAAAAAGTGATTTTCCACGCAAATTAATTCAGTGACTGAAACCGTTACGGAAATACTCAGCTCTGCTTTACCGTCCTACTCGTTACCTTATAAAAATGCTACACGCTCAGGATCTTCCTGCAACGACCATTTCGAATTCTCCTATAACCATCAGGGCACCTCAAGTAACCGTACGGTTTTCCATTGCATTCCGGGATCGTTAATGGCTCCACCAATGCCACGGAGAAAATGGCAAGAAGTGTGAGAACAGTTGTCAAAATACGTAAAGGCGTCATGCCGTTATAAACTGTGGCTAAATATTCTTAAACGCCTGCAAAATTCTCCCCGATGCTCAGAACGTAACTGAGCATCAATAATAGCTTGAAAGCTGAATAGATGACACAGTAAGTAGATCACAGTAGCCGCAAGTGACTAAGTAACTAGTGGTTCGACTTCCGGTACTAATTAAACAGCCGCAGCGTATTTCAAATAGTTTGACCTATGGCTATTGATACAGCGTTATCCAATTTGCTCGGTTCTAATAATTCGCAGTTTTCTCACAGAATCAGGGATCAAAGTTTCCGACTACACAATGAGATACGTATACAGAAATTTACAACTTTACTGCATACACTTTTTTGTATGACGATACGAAGTATTCCCGGATGGAAGGGTCTACGCTTTTCTCTTATTTTTTACCTTCTCCCTTAGCGGGAACGTATAAAAATGGGCAAACGTGTCCAAGTCTCTTTAAATGTTTCCCTTGGAGAGAACCTGCCGCGACTAAATAAGTATATACGCCTATAGAGACACGCGTACCGGAGAAGAGTGTGTCGCCGTGGAGAAGATCGATAGAACACTGCTCTCTCTCTCTCTCTCTCTCTCTCTCTCTCTCTCTCTCACTCTCTTCTTCTACGGTTTACGCACGATCAAATCGTATTCGCGTTATTATATTGACTTCTAGATTGAATACAAACAACGAGAAAAGGAATAAAAAGAAAAGAGTTGAGAGACAGTCCCTTGAGAGAAGTCAAAGCGTGGAGATATATCGATAGCACGCTTTATATGTTAGAAGCCTACTGTACGTATTATAATTATATATATGTATACAATTAGTTGCTTATATTATAATGAAAATTAAATTTTTATTAACATCTCCATTATCGTCGATGCAGTATATATATATATCCTTGCGACTAAATTTATCACCTGACGAAAGTCGTAGCTGTCAATGAAGTACGTTAATTGTCGACGAGTGGGGGAGGATATTATTAGGCGTTCCGATAATTAAGATCGATCCGTTGTCTACGTTTGATGTCTGAAACAAAAATTATAATTAATTCGATAGGACGGTGTTGTATCAAATGATAAGAGAATTGTCAATGATACCGATTATATGAAAAATATATAGTTATTATGGCACGAGATATGCTTTACTGTGCTAATCGATGATCCCTCAAGAATTCGCGTTCAGTTTCATCAGTATATAAGTCGGGTTAGGAATTGGGAATATATACACGTGGAAATCCGTTCCATACTTTTCTGCAGGGATCTTCCAGCAAAAGGAGTTCTGATGCCGTTTAGCCAGGACTCCGGACGATTGGCGGCCATCCCTCAAGATGACGGATAGCCGTGCAATATCCGTCGCAAAACCTACCCTCGCTGGAAAGGGTCGACGTTAGACGTCGTGAGAAACCTCCGAGTGTATGGTCCTGGGATGTATGTATATAGGGTGATCGTAAATTCGGAGATTTTCAGCACGTCCACAGGATTTTTTTGTATACGTATGCATAGAGGACTAGCCTGGGATGATTTCTAGCTAAATCTTGGGCGAATCCTTACACTTTCAAGGGCACCAAATGCATTCGGGTACGGTGGCCCAAAAGTTATCCACTCAATATATTACTTGGGTATAGCAGTATTTTATATTGATTGGCGTGATCGTACCAAATTTTATGATATACTTACAGAAAAAAAATGGCTCAATTTAAAAAAGCAATCTGTATAACTTTGTTAATAATTTTAAGAATTTTCCACGATGAACATTTGCGTCGTATCATTTTTTTAGGAATTTACAAATTAAAGGACACGAAGAACAGGAAGTGACTCGAACAGTTAAAAATTGCAGATAATTTGTTAAAAAGTTTGTTATCTGCAAACACAACAATTTACGTGCGTGCCAAACACTAAAATAATGTGTGTCATTTTCGATACGTCATTTTTGACGTCTCGAAAAAATAGAAAAAATAACCAAGATTGGATCCAATGCTTATATAGGTACAGTGTATACACTGAATCCAATTTTGCTCCACGTTATAGAGAAAAGCATTTTTCATTCGATTTTCGTTTGCAATTACTCACTTTGACTGTCTGAAAGTCAAAAAAAGAAATGGACGGGAAAACGCGTAGAAGCTGAGATACTGTTTCCCAAGAGCACGACGTGCGTACTCTTGAGAATTTTTTACTGCGTGCTTTTAGAACACTATGGCATTTGTGCAAGAAAGGAATAAATTAACCATATAACTGGTTATACGTGTAGGCTAAAGTAGTCCTGTGATGACATTCAATCCAAGATAAAATTCTCAACTCTTTATATATTAGACTAACTAGATCCTCGTCTATGCAAAATTTGAACATGATTTGCCGTGTGATTTCTGATATAAAAAGTTTGAATGTGTTAATTTCCACTATATAGATATATTTTTCCTATAAAAATGAATAGCTTTAAAATTCATTATCTCCATTTTCGTACGTTAGAATGTCATGATTTTTGGCTCGACCGTTGAGGTCATTTTCTATTTTCACACACTTACTTTTTACTCAAAAACCTTGGCATTTGTTTACTGCCCGTTTAACTCGTGATTTCCTATTATTAATATAATTATTATCGCCGGAGCACTTTAAAAATGTGAAAAAAAAATACTTTCAAACAATGCCACCTTAATATCAGTCTTACTTTTAATACTTGCAAAAATGATGAAGGTAGTTCGACCATGAGGGTACTTTCAAGACACAGATCTGAATGTTATATATGTTCTTGGCATGTGCTTAATAATCACGCGTGCAAAATTACAAATTTATTTATCTTTCACTTTCCGATATGTGCGAAATGATATTAGGCAAAATTGCACTATTACATATTATTATATATGTATATATTTCACTTATTAAAATACAGGTAATACAGGTTATTCGCCGAAATAGGTATGCTATTATTATGATGCTAATCAAACCACCTTAATGATTACTTATGTGCAAAGATACCAAAATTACAGTTGATACATGCTCGACATTGGTCGATTTAGACGTAAAGTAGCGATACAATATTTGAGTATCAGCAAAAAATTCGGTTATACCAAATGATTGAAACTAATATACTAATATTATAATTATTCACAGTAGATGGCAAAGTTGATTTGTTTGTCATTTCAATAAAAAAATCACGTTGCATACTCTTGGGCTACTTTACTTTAAAACTTCAGAAAGTAAAATCATTCCTAAGATACACTGTATTAATACCTTAAATCCGTTACGTATGTTTCCCTGGTATAAATGCCAGAAAACCGGTCAAGCCGAGAAAATATTATCCGCCGCACTGAGCCGTCTCATATTATGCACGTATAGCACAGACAAAAGAGAATCTTCCAGTGAAATAAGATCGAAAAAAGAATACTAACATGACGATAATACCTTTATCTCGAGCATCCTGCACACCACGTTAGTTTCAATTAAAATATTTAGTTGCGTCGCATCTTCAGTATCGTTATTCAATAAACAAAAAATAATATTCAGAGTCTTACCTAAAAAACCGTACGGCAACGGCCTCTTACGTTAAAAGTTTGGTTTGGACATCGTATAGGAACACTGATGATAGAACCCTTGTTGACCAACTTGTTAAAAGGTATGAAATGTTCTTCCTGCTGACTTTGCTGTGGTCTACCGTCGACCGGTCGTATCGTCACAGAGATAAGACAGAGCAGCGTCACCGCCAGCGCCACAAACAAATCGAGTCGCATGCTGATGTTACTATAGCGCTAATAGGACTGACTCCGGCAGCCACGATAAACTAATCCCGTATACCCCTGCTTACTCTTCCCACTACTACGCAAGCAGCCAGCAGAGACAAGGTCGAAGTCTGGCCAGCCTGACCAGCCAGAGAGCTCGTTAATCGCACAAGTTCCCTCGTTCTCCCAAGTTGCCTCGACCAGGAACGCCGCAATTAACGCCAAGTTTTCTTGTCTCTTTAGCTCCCTCTGTGAATACTCTTGTATAGCTACCTATCGGATCTTCTACCGGTCAACGTGAACGCCCTTTTCTGCCCTATACATCCAATCTCACTACATTACTCACTTGCCGACTGAAATACATTTTTTTTACTGATTTCTTATCTCACGATAGTCCGCACGCCTTGAATCGAATGCTGGAATTTGCTAAATAGTACTAGATGCTCCGACGGCGATAGCGAGTACTTTGGCTGTTGGTGTTATTGAAATTTTGGAGAATTTTAACAAGCACGTGTCAATGAAATATATTGTGAGATGCCAAAAACAAAGTATCTAATTATAATTAAAGATATAGGGCGTAGTATTGAATGTGTATTTTGATCAGGAAAATTAGGTAAGACACGTACCTTTTTCTCGGATTCACCAAACAACCCTGCACCTTCCTCGAGCGTCTAGTTGCTGTCCAGGTTTACACATAATTGATTTTCTTCGGGGAGGTATTTTTAATATTGAACCACTCGATACTGCTGTATTATCATCAGTTTCGTACAGCTTCAATTGTTCTGTATTGTTTTTATCCGAGACGAGATTTGCTAATGTATTTATTAGCTCACGAAAGGACCAGGCCGTGGCGTAAACTGCATTCAGCAGCGACAGCACTAGCACTACATTGCACCAATGCATTCTAAATTGTACTGAAGGCCGTAACTTCCTTTACGTCGTTTCTTCAAGCGATGACCTTTTGACATCAAGTTCCTCCAATGGTTGAGCGTTAGATTATCAGCTGGAATTCTATAATATATGTGATAATTGTTAGGAATGAATTTTTTTTTATTTGCAAGAAAAGGATAAAAGGTTGTTCTGTTACAGAATACAATTTGTATAAATTTCTATTAAAATTTTACAGAGTTAATTAATTTTGTAATTAAATTATCTGAGAATTGGACTGGGAATATCATTTGAAAATCTGACTACGCTTTTTTTTATAAGGAAATAACGTTACATACTTCTGGATGTTGGTAATAAGTATTATGAATTATTAAAATCTAAATAGCCCGAACAATTAGTATTATCGTTAGCGTGACGATACGAAATACCAACAATCGTACAGGGATATTCGAAGTACGAACACCTGGCGCCACCTGACAGGCGATAAAATAACTAGTCCGTCGCGTACGCTCTAGCGTAATCCACAGATAACCTAACGACCTTACCATCGTGTTCCTGACGGAGGATACAGTCACGAGACACGTAGTATTTCTCAATAGAAGCGCTTGATGGTTTTTCCTACGGGCCAAGGTAGATAATGTCGACAGCGTTTTGACGTGCAGATCATGTGAGACTCATCTTTCAGTCAAATGTGGTCATCACCAACCTGACGTACACTGCCGACAAGGCGACGTAACCCGTTTATCCGACATCCGAAACCTATCTCACCCTAACCTAACCTTCTTTGTCAAGGGACCCGCTCAGGTGAATAATCGATAGATTCAAAAGCGCGCCGTCTCCAGGTTCACTTTTATCAAGCAGAAGCAAGACACCAAGACAGACGTCCGGCTCTTCCCCGCCAGTAGACTCCATTTACCCGTAAACAACTCGAGTATAAACATGCACCATAGGATACCGAAGAACTTTCAATGGAACTGGTATAAGAATATTATCATATATACGCGGAGCAGACTAAATTTTACATCACAGTTTAACAGTAAACACAGGACAAATGTAATTAATCAAACCCGTCGTTTTATTTTCATTGAACTTTACATGGGTTTCAATATACTTTCAATGAACATGGAATACTAATGAATAATTGACAATCTAATTGCATCTTTCAGATAAAAACGAGGGAAATTCACGAAGCTCCCAAAAAACTCTGCGTGCTTCAAAGGATTCGATTTCTCTGTAATCACGAGTTGGCAAAATACATATGGCGGAGTCACGTGTAAACGGCTTGTATGAATCCACAAACGAGAGCGGTTCCCTTACGATGGTAATGTCAGTATTGACCACGGGATTTGGACTGTGGCTTTTTGAGGTTACGTACACGTGAATACATTGGTAAGGTATAGGTTTAACGTATATTGAAAGAGACACGCCACGAAATAGTCGCGGTTAGTACTCGTGTGTGCTTGCACACGCGCGTGTACGTTTTAGATTTAAAAATTAAATGAGCCAGGCAGAGGTCGCCCACCAGGCAATTCCAGTAGCGGGCAATTGCGTGCAAGAAATTACTTGGCAATGCGAGCTAGCACGCAAGCAAGCAAAAGGCATCAGCATCAGCATCGGCATCGGCGGCTTCAACTTCTTCTTCTCAAGCCCCTACGATTCCGTCAGCGTGCATGCGATCGCTCCATACTGCCTGGATCATCCAAAAGATTCATCTTGAAGACGTCCAATGGCGTTCGGAGTCTTCTCAGGGAGTAGCTTTATCCTTTTCCCATTCTTTTAGTTTTTACAGCTTATTCTACGTCTCTGTAACTTTGCTCTTCGTCTTCTAGATTCCACCGCGTGTCCAATACCGACCTTCTAGCTGCCAGTGTGGATGGGTTCATGTCTGTTCATTCAGTAGAGTGGATATCGAAATTATTAAAACTGTCTGATTCTATTTCAGCTACGGTTACGGATATATGGATATTAGCATTCACTCTCCCTACATAGGTGCTGCAGGGGTTCAGAAATCAGTCTCATGGAGCTACCCTGTCAACCTGGCATGCCATCTCCTAGGGTGAACGCGCTTTAAAATGTTCATCTAGACTTTCTGGTACCTGAGTATTTTCGTACGTATTGCCTCAGGGCTGAAAGAATTCAGTATCTCCAGCCAAGAGCGTACGTGCAGGTAAGGTCGTCGAACCGAGCACGGAAATTCGAACTTGCCGAACCGACGGTAACCTGAGCCTCGATTATCGCTATACTGTATGAGCGATGTTAACACTTGCCCTTACAAATTTTCTGACATTGCCACCTTGTTATCCATTATTTTTTCTTTGATGAAGTCTTTCTGTTCCATGTACCTGAACACATGCGAACCCTTATGAACTTCTATCCCGACGTGGTGTCTACCTCACGCCTACAGCGAAGGTCCCACTAAAGTGCACCCTCATCTAGCCCACAAGATGTATCCCTTCTCTACATGTTGCAGCGGTCTATGAAGAACATTATATGTCAAGATAGTTACCGTTCAAGCTTAGCTGCATTACGTAAGATGTCATGTAAAGTACACCTAGTCATGTGGGAGGTGGATCGAAGCCGTAGGGCCTTAGATTTCGCGAGCACCCGTATACCACCTATAAGTGCAACAAAGACCGACGTATAAGCATTTGAGAGTATAAAAGCGAGACGAATAAATAACATGGCTGGATAAAAGTCTCAAGTAGAATTTGTCCCTGACGAAAATCATTAACGTCGAGACAGTTTCTGGGTAACCTAATCTGATAAAAAGTCCGTGTTTTTTCAAACTCATTTATGTATAGCAAATTCAAACGATATAGCACAAACTAAATGTTTCTGATAAAACAAAGAAAAACATCTTTCGCCCTCCTTAACTTTCTGCTTCTGGCACATGTCCCCCATTGGGGATACAGTTATAAGGAAAGGAAGGAAGGAACTTTCTGCTTAACGATTCCAATAGAAGGCACAAGTTATCATGGCCGAAAGCCATTTAACACAAAACTTGCGTACACGCAAGGTTACGTGTAAGACCAATGAGCGGGCGGCCATAATATTTCGTGGGCTTAGAAGCGTACGCTTATTGGTCTAGATCTTACGTTGTTATGCTTACGGAAGTTTCGTGTGAAACGGCCTCAACCGTAGGCGTTGCGATACCTAGCTAACTCTTGTATCTAGTGTCTTGCCCGTTCGACACCGGCGCACTCCTTATGGTTACTTAGGCATACCCATACCGAGAATGAGGGTCGCGTAGAATGTGGCAGCGATCAGTGAGGAGAGCGAGTGAGAGAGTACGAGAGAGGCGTAGAGGCAGGACAAGTCAGGGTGTCGACGAAGAATCATAGCGTCGTACTCGTTGAAAACACGAGGCGTGGCGTAAGTGACGCGCACTGTAGATAATACGTACCTACTCAGTGGTACGTGGGCTAACAGTCGGTAGTTCGGTAGGTAGGTAAGTACACTAACAATTGGCAGTATAGTCGAAAGAGAGGCCACTGAAGTCATTCCATGCGTATATACGCAACGAGAGTGTAAGAGAGAGAGAGAGAGAGACGCGGGAGAGGGAAAGAGATAGCATACTCACAGTGTCGGGATGACCAGAGCGTATGGGAATTCCGGTGCGATACACGGTCATAACGTTCCCTAATGTCGAATCTCAAGAGCAGCATCTAATCAACGTTGCTACCGTATGGCATATATCCGTATCAGAGATCTGAAATCGTACGCGGATAGGTACCAGAAAGTAATTAAAGAATTAATTAAATGGAGGCTTACTCAGCTAAGTTTAACCATCGATCAAAGTTAACCATGGCAGGCTTATTGTGCTCACAAAAAACACCGCTACCGAAATCATAGGGCCATTGTGCTCCCCGGGGCGCTATTTCCAAAAGGACGCACTGAACGGGGGCCCCGGGGCCCCGAGAGAGGAGGAATGCGGTTCGCGTGCTCCATCCCTGTCGCTACAAATTAGAGTAAAAATCATGAAGGAGGATCGTGGCAAATAACTTACACAGCGGGAGGGTTCGCCTCGGACGAGGAGCGAACAATGCCTCCTCTTCCACGACCACCTCCAACTCATCCTCGTACTCCTTCTCATCATCCTCTGACTACTGAGCTCTCGTTTCCTACCTATCCTCTTCACTCTCCTGCTCTCTTCTCTCTTTCACTCATTCGCTCGCTCACACCCCGTCTCTGCTACTTCTTGGTTAACAATGAGCAACCAGGCTTGAAAGTCCGGCCACTGCACGACGCGTAACCGTCCCATACTTACGGTATATATATATATATATATAGAGTATAACTGCCAACCGCATTTACCAGCCAAGAAAGAACCTATCTATCTAATATACCCCGCGGAGTAGCTACCGCTTCTGTCTGTCCCTACAACGTCAAGAGTGCCTCTCGATACACTCGAATGTGTTAAGCATTATATACAATATGATAGATCGTATTCTCTATACACGTATAGTAAGCTGGGAATTGTCACACTGGTTGCAGGCTGTTGAAAAAAAAAGGTTTTTCTTTTTGCCAGACCGGGAGCCCATTGCCTCTATTTGAATGGTGACAGGAGTCAACGATAGTACCTTCTCTGCTGTACAGAGCTACGTAAATTCGTTATTTAGCGGTGACGGTAGGCGAGACGAAAAGAGCCTGGTCGGCCATTAATAATTGTTCGTAATAACGGGTGGAGGGAGGAAAAACAAGGACAAGCCGGTAACAAGCCTGACCGATTCCTCCCTGTTGTTGGTGTCGATCCCGCGGGGGCCACCCCCGCTGCGTTCCTAATAAACCCACTTGCCGGCGGGATAATGGGTCCGCGGTGACTCCACAACTCTCTCGGCCACTTCTCGACGTCTCCTACCCGACGCGCCGGTGCGTTTGTGCCTGTGTTAACACTACCTCCTTACGCCCGGTATCCACCACGGTAGTAGGACTTCGTCGTCGTGTCTGCTTCTCAATATAACCAGTAAGCCAGTAAGCTTAGATCGTTTTACCTATACAGCAACCGGCTTGTGGATCATTTTTCTAGGTATAGGACTGCTCTG